TGGTTGTTGATGATGTTGTTGTTGTGGATGTTGAAGTTGTTGTTGATAATGTTGTTGTGGTTGTTGTTGGTGGTGTTGTTGATGTTGATGTTGATGTTGATGTTGATGATGATGTAGTGGATGTTGTTGAAGTTGTTGTCGATGTGGACGATGCTGTGGTTGCGGATGTTTTTGTTGATGATGCTGCGAAAACGGACGAGGTTGAAGATAATGCTGTTGATGTCATAGTCGGTTCTATTTAGAAAAAATGATTTTAGAGTGAGACTAAACGGTTAAATAAGAGTTCTTTCTTTTTCTGTAACAATGTATCGACTTTAAATATGAGTTGATTGTAATAACATCAAAAATGTGTAAATGCTTTCTATTATAATTGTAATTCTACGATATTTACTTTAATTATATCTCTACTATAATAATCAATCCGTGATTTATACACAAATGTGTTCAATATCCCTGTCAACTTGTCTTAGTTCTCGATAACTTGAAATTCTTTTTCTCTTTCAGTGATCTATTTTCTTCTACATCTCTTCTATTTTTCTACTGACCCGATGGAAATCGTGTTCCACTAATAACAATCATACTAGTAGCATCGATATCAGCCAGTATATTTCCATTTTGGTTCGACAAATCACCAAATAATTCACAATTAAAAGTTGTTCGATGAAAAGTGGCTGCTCTGCATTGGCTTTGAGTTAAGCACGCTATCTGACAATTCCTAATGCTTGATGTGATAATATTAAGGAATTGTAAACACGTTGTAGTGGCACATTGAAATTTAGCATCAGGTATTAAAGATATGTGCACTGATCGTATATCTTTCCCAATTATTTGTTTTATAATCATAAATAAAAACCATATACAAACTCTTCTTGAAGTCATCAACCACCAGATTCTGAGTTGATCAAATGAATTCAATTCTTAATAGACGACAGAGTATTTATTGAGCAATAGATTCTTTTTTTTCTCTCTCTCTTTTGAGTGGGTAGTGCATCGTTTTTCTCAGAATTTATTCATCAATTTAATCACAAAAGTAGTCAGGATTTCTTTTTCTTTGAGTTCCTCACATCAATTTAATCAAAAGACAGTCATGACTTTTTGTTCTCGGAATTCATTTCACCAGTTTAATCAGGAAAAGTAGTCAGGACTTTTTTACTTTCAAAAAAATTTATTCATTTGGAAAGATAATTTTTCTTCGTGTTTAAATGTTATTTGAGGACAAATATATTTATTATAAATAGAACTTTTAAGTTACATGAAAAACGATCGATCTAACAAAACTGAATTTGAAAAAATAATATAATCAACATTTAGGTAGAGATGAAATTTTCTATAAAAATGAAAAAAATTCAATAGAAATTTATTTATATATTCATATCTAAATAGTTCGAATGTATCTAATAGACTATACAATATATCAGTGAACTGTCACATCATTTACATTGGAATAAAGCCGATCTTTAATATCTAGACAAAGAATAATCAAATGAGTTGTTTGATTACATAAGAAAACTGAATAATTCTTCAAAATCGAACACACTCGACTTAAGTTTCTATAACAAAAAGGATAGCACTATTTTAGAAATCTATCCGTTTCTTATTCTTCCATTCTTAATTGATTGTAATTTGTAATTCAACAGATAATCACAGTTTTCTTCATCAATGTGAAAATGATTCAAACAATTGAGATTTAGATCTATGTAGAAAAAGTTCTAATGGAGAATAAAACTTTTTCTTGATCAAATAAATTAAAACAAACAGTTTTTAGTATTCCAAAATAGCTGAATAATTGTTTATCATAACAACGCATTCAAAACGTTTTTTTTCTCAATGAAAAAGATTCATTTAGTGAATGTTTCCCTTATTTTTCTTTCATTTGTATGTTGCTATGATGTTTTATGTATGTAGAAAAAGAAACGATAGAAACAAAAAACTGGTGAAATTATCTAGAGTTGTTATAATCACAATAATAGAAACTACGTTGTTTCATAAAAAAAAGAGTTGCATATGAATAAGACAAGAATAACAACAAAAAGTTAACTTTTTCTCAATAGGCAACAGAATCTCCATAACTACATTGGAAAAATTAAGTTGATGACACGTCTTTTCTTTCTTCTAATATTTTGTGGACGAAAAATAGGAGAAATATTCTTTCAAAGTATGATAATGACATACACAACACCAAGATAAATGATTATTTCTGATAAATAAACAATTCTTTTTTTCTTCTACAGATTCTAATGATAATGGATTGTCTACCAAAGAATATATTATACATGAATATATTGACATT